CACAGTGCTGCTGGCAGGAAGCAGGATTTAGAAGGCAGTAAAGAGCAGTGATGTGAAAGCTGAAGCTCCAATACTTTGGCCACTTGAAGAGTTGATTCATTGGAAAAGACCCTGATGCTGGGAAAGACTGAAGGCAAAAGGAGACGGGGATGGCAGAGGATGAGATGGTTAGATAGCATCACCGACTCAATGGACATGAATCTGTGCAAAGTCCAGGAGGTAGTGAAAGACAGGGAGCCTGGTGTGCTGCTGTCCATGGGGTCACAGAGTCAGACAAGACTGAGTGACTGAACAGCAACAACAAAAGAGCAGTGAGTTCAGAAAGGTCTCCTCCTGCCAAAACCAAAATCATCGAGGTCACACGCCCAGACTCATGTGCATGCCCTGCACATCTTGTTAAAATACAGACTCTGATTCAGTAGGTCAGGGTGGGGCTCAAGTCCCTGCCTCTCCAACAAGCTCCCGGGTGCTGCTGGTGCTGTTGGACTGAGGACCACACTCTGAGTGACAAGGGATAGAGGGCTGGTTTTGAAGCTGGAGTGACACAATTTTGACTTAGATTGTGCCTGTATTTAGAGAGGTCTTGGAGTGTCTGATGGAGATTATCGAGGGGCTCTAATCCATCATGACTGCCCTTTGCCTTCAGAATCAAGTTCCAACTTCTTCCCAAGACTTGCAGAGCCTGTAGCATCCATCCCAGACCCATTCGTGGATTTTTGGCCCAGGCCCATGTCCTGTGCATCTCAACCCTACAGTCAAGAAACCAGCCATATGAATCACTTGCAGTGTCTGAACACCTTCAGGCTCTGGCACTTCTGGGTCTTTGGACATGCAGAGGTTCCCAGCAGGGAACCTCCATGCCCATCTCTCTGTATGGTGAAACTCTCTGCATCCAGGTTTCAATTCAGAGGACTCTTCTTCCAGGAAGCCTTCCCTGACTGCAGTGGTTAATTTTATGTGTCAACTTGACCAGACTATGAAGTGCTCAGATACTTGGTCAAGCTTTATTCTGGATGTGTCTGTGAACATGTTTCTAGGTGAGATTAACATTTGAATGGGTAGGAACAAGCAGATGGCTCACCCCAATTTGGGTGGACCTCACCCAATTTGCTGAAGGCCTGAATAGAACAAAAAGGTTGACACTCCTGCAAGTAAAGGACATCTCCCCCTGCCTGACTGCCTTCCAGCTAGAGTACTCTTTTCCCCCCTACCTTTGAACTTGAACTGAAACGTTGTTCTTCCTGGGTCTTTAGCCTGTTGGATTTCAAACTGGAGTTATACCCTCAGCTCTCCTGGGTTCTGAGCTAGCTGACTGCAGATCTTGGAACTTGTTAGCCCTCGTAATTACATGAACCAATCATATAATAATAATAATAAACTCTACTGGTTTCTACTGGTTCTGTTTCTCTGGAGAAACTTGATTAATTCAATGACCCACCCAGGATATTATCTCTCAATTCTGTTGTTCTTATACTTTCAGCTTATAACAGAGATTTTGTCTTACACCAGTAAAAATGCCATAGTGGTACTTTAGAGTTGCACTGACCAATAAGATAGCCACTAGCCCTACATGGCTGTAGCGTACTTGAAATAAGGAAGTGTGAACTGAAACTGGCTGTGAGTGTAAAATTATAAATTCTAATTTGAAGATAGTATGAGAAAAATAAAATTTATTTTATTTATTTAAAATTTATTATTTTATTAAATATAAATTTAATTTGTTATAATTTATTGTGTCTATTGCCTGTTGAAATCATAACAATTGTGATATACTGGGTTAAGTCGAATATGTTATTAAAATTAATTTTCCCTGCTTCTTTTTTCCTTCCTAATGTAATTACTGAAAAATATAAAGTTGTATGTGGGCTTCCCAGGTGGTGCTAGAGGTAAAGAACCTGGTTGCCAATGCAGCAGACTTAAGAAATGCAGGTTCCCAGGGTCAGGAAGATCCCCTGGAGAAGGGAATGGCTACCTACTCCAGTATTCTTGCCTGGAGAATCCCATGGACAGAGGAGCCTGGCAGACTATGGTCCATAGGGTTGCAAAAAGTTGGACACAACTGAAGCAACTTAGCACGCACACATAAAATTGCATGTACATGTTATGCTTATATTTTTGTTAGAAGGTGCTGCTCCAGAGCAAGGCACAGTAAAAAGTCCAGATCTAACCAAGCTAGAAATGCTGAAATTTACCAGAGCCTTCCAAACTCCAGAAGTTGAATTCCCTCACGATAGTTTCATAAGAAAATACATCTTAGGGCACTAGAGTAGAAGTGAGCAAACTACAACCAAGGGGCCAAATCCAGCCTTCCACTGGCTTTTGTAAATAAAGTTTTATTGGAACAGAATCACGATTATTCATTCACATATTGTCTGAGGTTGCTTTCCTGCTACAACGGTAGAGTTGAGTATTGCAACAGAGACCACTGGGCCTGCACGGCTTAAAATATTTCCCATCTGACCCTTTATAAAAGAAAGTTGGCCAAATCCTGGTCTAAGGCAAAAAAGGTAGGTATTGTGGCTCTGGAAGGCAGAGAGGCCAGTGATTGGGTGCCAACTCCACTGCTCATTCGTTGGAGTCTCTGGGCATATTACTGCAGACCTCTGAGCTTTGGTGTAGTCATCTGTAAAATGGGATAGTTGTAACAGTTACTTCATGGGTTGCTATGAGAATTAAGGGAGAGGATGCAGCTAAAGAGGCTGGTACCTAAACCATCACTGTTATAACTGATGTGTCTCTATGTCTTTATTATCTGTTTGTTTTGATGAGTTAGGAGCCCTGCTCTGTGCCTCCCCGGATGCCTGCAGGGCTGTCTCTCTTTAAGATATTTGTCTGGTCCCTTGAGTGTCCCCTTACCCCAGACTACGTATTCTCCAAGGGCAGATGAGTCTGAGTTTTTTTGCTTTTTTGTCATCACAGAACCAGAGTTGGGAAGTGCTGGCTGGCTCCCTGCTCTCAGTGTCCCTCGCTCCTCTTGTCCTACAGACAGCTGAGAGGACCCTTCTTTGAGGACACTGGGTGAGAATGTGGTCTTCCTCACTGACTTCTCAGTGGTCTGGGGGCTACAGAACCCTGAGGGGCTGGGTCCCTGCCGTGTTTGGTCAGACCTGTCATGCGAGTAGTCTCCACCCCAGTTCCTTGTAGGGTGCCTGAGTCATCGAGGGACCCAGAGCAGGCATCCAGATGGGATGGAAGCCTATTTTTATCCACTATTGATCTCTCTTGCTCAGAAACCATCATTATCCTGGTGTAAAATGGCAGCTCCCAATGCAGGAGCCGCACGGTGTCCCTGGCCAATGGATACCCAGCAAATTGCTCCAAGCCACACCGGCCGGAGAAACCAAAATAACTTCACGAGACAGCCATCCGGCCTGGCCCCACTGGGCTTTCAGAAAAGGGCTAACTTTGACCCTTTCTAACATTATCCACAGCTTTTCTTGTCTTGTCTTTGGGAAAACAAAGATGAAGCTAGTCTCTAATTGACCTGGTGTCTGCAGTTCTTGGCTGTGCCCGGCAGCTGAACAGAGGTGAGGGGCCTGAGCCAGCATCAAGCCCGACTCTGCTGATTCTACGGGAGCCATAGGTGGCTCCAGACTAACAGAGGAGTAACGGGGACCTCTGTGCACCAAAGGGCATCTGCGACCAGGGAAGAAGGTGATGCCCTTCTCCAAACTTAAAGCCAAGCTCCCTTTCCCCATGGAATAGCCGGGAAATGAATCCCTGACACCATACGCACCCTAAACTGCCCTGTGGTGTGGGCGTCAGTGAAGGAGTTGCAGAAACTTCCTAACCCATGACGTGGGAAGCACAGTCTTTGTCACTCGACAACGTGAGTCCAGTCCCGTGGTTTGCAGGGAAATGTTTGACAATCGACATCAGAGGAAGGGGAGTAACTCTTATCTCTGGCCTTATTTGCTGATTTCCAAGGTGTGAATGGAGATTTCTCGGTAGCTCAGATGTTAAAGAATCTGCCTGCAATGCAGGAGTCCCGGGTTCGATCCGTGGGTCCTGAAGATCCCCTGGAGGAGGGCATATATTCTTGCCTGGAGAATCCCATGGGCAGAGGAGCCTGGCAGGCCACAGTCCATAGGGTCCCACAGAACTGGACATGACTGAAGCGACTTAGCATGCACGCACATTGTGTGAATATTACCCTCATGCCGATTTCAAAGTGATCATCTCTCTCAAGCCATTCCATGTCGTCTCCAGCTCACCGTGGGCTCCATCTCTATCCCTGGCTGCTCTGTGACCTCAGACAAGTTACTTAACCCCTCTATGCCTCAGAGAGTAGAACGGGAATCATATTAGTGTCTATTTCTAAAGATGATCGTAAGACTTAAATGGTAAATGCCTGGAAAACACTCTGCGTTGGGCCTAGCACATAGGAAGCATCCAGTTAGCACTGGATATAATTACAATCCCTGGGATTAATGTTATCAAGTTCATAACGGAGTTGGCCAAGCAACACTCTTGTGTACATGTACGTATACACACACACTCTCTCTCACTAACTTCTGAAAGGCCAGGCAAGGAGAGATTAGCTTTGGGTGGAGCAATCCCAGGAGGTTTCCTGGAGGAGGCAGGATTCAAATCTGGAGGAGGTAAGAGAAGAGGAAAGGAGTTAAGTGGAAGATTGGGGGCCAGAGAGAGGACACACATAGATGGGAACCTGTGAGGGATGAGAGATGGACAGCAAGAGTAAGGGGATGAGAGTTCAGCTTAAAGAGTGAGCCCAAACCCCCTTAGTGTAGACTGGCTGGCATTTGCAGGCTGAGCCTCTTGGGGCTTCTAATAACTGGGCCCAGAGTGGAAGTCCAGTCCGCGAAGAGTCTGGAGCAGGGCACCTGGACCTCTTAGTGGCCCCTGGCAGGTGGTGTCCTAGAGAACTGGTCTGAGCAGCAGACCCTGTACCCCCAGACGCCCAGAGTTTTCAGAAGTGCTCCATACCCGCCGCCCCAGCCAAGCCCAGTGGCCCTGACTTGGGTAATTGCGAGTGATAATTATCCAGTGTGCACAAAGGCCTGGCTTGTTTTCTCATTCGGGTGGGGGCCCGGGTAGCTTTGTTTGGGCCGGGAATTGTCGTAGGGCCTCTGTTTAGCCAGCGCTGTCTCCTCTTTGTTAACATTCCTCACTAACTGTGGCTCCTCGGGGGCTGGAGCGGAGAGAGGAAGGCGGCACCCAGGCCCTCTGGCTTCCGTGGCCCCGCTCCCAGCTCCTCAAACCCCTGGGAAACCTTGGCCCTGTTTCCTTCTTGCCCAAGCCACCAGGGACAGGCCCAGAAATAACCCAGCTCACCTGGCAGGTGCAAGACCCACATCTCAGGCAATTGCCTTAAACACGGGGAACTTCCCCAGGACCAGTGTGGCTGAAAACAGTCATTAGGTGTCACTTTCTATGGCGGCCTGCTCTGTTTCTGGGGCTGAAGGGCTAATTACACACCTGGGGCCATCCCCACCTTGCACAACCCCCAGGACAAATGCTACCTGGGTTCTCCCTCGGTCCTTGGAGCCCACTCCCACCCAGCACTTACATGGCCGACAAATGAATGTTTTTGCCTGTCCTCGGTTCACATAAATAGCCACAAATTCCTATAATTAACTACAGTAAGCTAGGCTGGGATTAAAACAAAGACGGGCTTGTTTACTGGGATGTCCTGAAACAAGCAATTTTCAACATTACAGTGTCAACTACTGTCTCTGTCTTTGTTAAGCAAGGCATTGGGGTAAGGAGGGGGGCGGGCATGATGAATGGTGCGGGACCCCAGCTGGGAGCCGGGAAGGGGTAAGGATGATCGCTTCTGATGTTTCAGCCAAAATCCCTTTGTCCATGGGTCACTGGGCCTCCGAGGCTCTAAGACCCACTCAGCGTCTAGTGGAGGACAGTGGAATAGGGCGCAGACAAGAAGGCACCCTCTCTTCCTCCCAGACATTGGAATTTGAAGGTTCCTAGAAGAATTTCTTCCCTCACTCCTGGCAAAAGTGACTCCTTCTACCCAGCCAGCAAAATTCCTGGAATTTCCACTGTTAGGTATTAAAGTGGAGTAGGTCTTTGGAGACCATCTGGACCAAGCCCTCCTCTTCCAGATAGGGAAAATGGGCCCTGGGAGGCTATCATGGCTAGCTGTTCACCATTACTCAGGAGGTGATGACATAGCAGGACTTGAACTCTAGTTTTCTGATGATGACGGGGTCAGCAAACTAGGGCCCACAGGCCAAACCTACTCGATGTCTTGTTTTGTCTTGTTTCTCAGCAGCCTAAGAGCAAAGAAGAGTTCTTACATTTTTCAATAGTTGAAAACAATTGAAACTGTTAATCACTCAGTCATGTCCTACTCTTTGTGATCCCATGGACTGTAGGCCACCAGGCTCCTCTGTCCATGGGATTTCCCAGGCAAGAATACTGGAGTGAGTTGCCATTCCCTTCTCCAGGGGATCTTCCTGGCCCAAGGAATGAACCCCAGTCTCATACATTACATTCAGATTCTTTACCATCTGAGCCACCAGGGAAACCCAGAAGACAAAAAAGCATGTGAAAATTCCATGGGGACTTCCCTGGTGGTGCAGTGGATAAGAATCACCTGCCAATGCAGGGGACACAGGTTCAATCCCCGGTCTGGGAAGATCCCACATGCCTCGGAGCAGCTAAGCCAATGAGCGACAACTGAGCCCAGGTGCTCTAGGGTCAAAGAGTCACATGCTATAACTACTGAAGCCCGTGAGCCTAGAACCTTTGCTCTGCAAAAAAGGAAACCACTGAAATGGGAACCACAGTTCCCAATCACCACAGTTAGAGAAAGCCAGAGCAAAGCAATGAAGACCAGCACAGCCATAAATGAACAAATAATTCTTTTTTTATAAAAAGAAAATTCCATGAAATTTAAGTGTCAATGAAAAAAGTTTTACTGGGACATGGCCTTTCATGCATTTACAGGTTGTCTTTGGGCACTTTCAAGCTACATGAGGTCAGTAGCTGCCTGGACTGTATGGCCCACAAAGCTGAAAAGATTTCCTTTCAGACCCCTGGTCCCTGTGCTAGTACATTACCTGCTGCTCTATTAAAAAAAAGAGAGAGAGAGAGAGAGACAGAATTTCCTTTTTCAAAAGTTTGTTTTCTACTTGGAAGTCTTTCTTTAAACAAAATCTTGGGCAGAGCCTTGGTGTGTAAGGCTTATCAAAAGAGGATCTGTACTTTTTAGTTGGGTGGGAGTGGGGTAAGAACCCTGAGGAAACTTTGTGGGCTCCCCCAGAAGGTGGAAGAGTGTCTGAACCCCCAGATAAAAATAGCGTCTTTTGCTAAGGCTTTCTGGTCCACCCTGAAGTTGCAGGGTTGTCCATATGGCCTGCATTACAAGCATCAGTGGACAAGCCAGGTGTCTGGACAGATCCACTTCAGAGACAACTTGTAAGGAGACTTTTCTGTTGGGATTGTCTTACTCTGCAGGGATTGGACAAATGAATTTAAGATTCAGTAAATATTTCCTGAGCTCTTCCTCTGTGCCAGGTGCTGTTCCAAGCTTTGCAGATCTTGAGAAGAACATCAGGTAGAGTCCCAGCCCTCCTGCGGCTGACGTTCTAATAGGAGGGACAGAATCTGAAGATGTTAAGTAATTAATGTCAAGTATGGAAATCAACCCTGAATATTCATTGGAAGGACTGATGCTGAAGCTGAAGCTCGAATACTTTGGCCACCTGATGTGAAGAGCTGACTTATTGGAAAAGACCCTGATACTGGGAAAGATTGAGGGCAGGAGAAGGGGGCGACAGAGGATGAGATGGTTGGATGGCATCACTGACTCAATGGGCATGAGTTTGAGCAAGTCCCAGGAGATAGTGAAGGACAGGGAAGCCTGGCGTGCTGCAGTCCATGGAGTCACAAGGAGTCAGATATGACAGTGACTGGACAACAAAGTTTACTCATAAAGAAGAAAAACCAAGTAAGGGATTAGAGAGAGATGAAACTGTAATGCAAAATAAAGGAAAGAAGGAAGGACTCTAAGAAGGTAAATTGGAGCCTGCAATGAATGACTGAATGATAAAAAGAAAGGAAGAAGGAAAGAAAGAAAGAAGGAAAGAAAGAAAGAGTAGAGAAAAATCCAGACTTTGCAAAGGGCTGGGGCAGGCTGGCCCACACAGGTCACTAGAGAGAAACCTCAGGAATCCCCAGAGAGGGACAGATTGGACATTGAAAGAAAACCTTGAAAACTTGGAGATTTGTGTTGGGTGAGGGGTGGGGGTGGGGCCTGCAAACACAATCTTAAAACCCTGTGTCCCATCACTTGTGATCCAAGTCAGACTCCTGCAAAATAACCCCAAGGCAAGACCAATATCCAAGACACAAAGAAATTAATGAAGAATACCCTAGAATCTAGGTCCTTTAAACCCTGGAGAAGACCTTCTGGGGAGGGTGGGATGCTGGGGGTCACAGGCAGTGATTCCAGTTCACACCCTGCCTCACTGTCAGATGTTTGCAGTCTGTGCTCTTGAGTGGAACTCACTAGGTCCAACATCCATGGATTTGTTACTGCTGATGATTCACCTTAGTGGTGCTGCCAAAAAGACAATTTGGGGCGTGACAAGGTGACAAAGCTCATAGAAAGTCAGGAATGTGTTTAGCAGCCACCGAGCAATGCTAAGGGCTCCTGCAGGTGTTGCCTCCCGGGCAAAGTAGCTGCCAACACATTAGTCTGGGCCAAGAAGGCTGAGCACTGTGAAAGCAGAGGGAGTCAGGAGATTATACCCAAGGTGACATTCTGCAAGTCACCTGTCCTCTCAGGGCCTCTGCTTGGCAGATCCTGAAAAATGGGGTGAAGTGAACAATACATCCTCTCAGGCATGTTACGCAGCATCAGTGAAAAGATATGTAGAAAGCTCTGTGAAGGCCCTTGAAGAGAAGTTCAGGCCTCACTGATGATACTATTAACAGAGGCAGGGCAATGAGCCTCTGGTCTGGCCAAGGGAAGGTCACGAACACCTATTGGAACACCAGGGATCTCATTGGACAACAGGCCATATGTGCACAAATTAAGATAGGTCCTCTAGTTGCCTCGGTTCAAACCTCAGTCTGGGTTCCAATCCCAGCACTGATACAAAAGTGTCTTACAATTTGGATCAAGTTACTTTATATCCTGGGATCCCAGTTTCCTCATCTATAACCTGGAGATTGCAACGGGGCTGACTTTATTTAGGGTAACTACCAAAGCTGTGTTAGTCATATAAATAAAGTCATTAGAAGGAGCTTAGTTCCTTGTTAATAACTGGGACCAGCTCTGCTGCCCAGGCTTCTTGTGAGGACAGAGTGGGCTCTGCTTCGAGAGAGAGCTGAGCATATGGGGAAGCTTGTCTTACTCTTATCTGCGGGAATTTGGTACTGATGGGGCCTTGCTTCTTGCTTCTCCTTCTTCTGGCTTGTCACAGCATGGACCAGCCAGAAGAAGGAGAAGCATGGCATCAGAACTGACCAGATATGATATATTGGGTTGGCCAGTGAGTTTCTTCAGGTCTTTCCATTACCTCATCTGGAAAAACCCAAATGAACTTATCGGCCAACCCAATACCTTGCGTGTTTTCTTCTTCATCAAATTGTTTGCTAATGTTGAGCTCCAGGCATTAGTCTAAGTGCTGAAGATACAGTGGGGAACCAACAGCCATATACCCTGCCTCCGGCAGCTGATATTCTAGTGGGGGCAGTGAGAGAGGCAGATGGAAAGAGATACACAATAGCTTGCGGAGAATGAGGGGTGCTATTAAAAAAGCTAGAGCAGACAAGGGGCTCCTGCCAGTGGCCTGCTTCAGCAGGGAGGGTGAAGTTCTCTCTGAGCAGGCGATGGCCCAGCACACAGAGTATCCTCTCTGACCCTCGGTCTCTTCATCCGGATGACTGTGTGACAGGAAGAACTGAGCAAGATGTTCGCTTTGGTCACCTTGTCTCCCGACAAGGTGCCGGGGTGTCCACGCCTAGGCAGCTCAGGGGCTGGCACATGAGGCAGGTACCTGGCTCCTCAGGACCAGCCCTGAGCAGAGCTCTTTTTTTATTCGGGCCAAAGGTACAATTAACAGCCTCCACTTGGGCCTCGCCCAACCCCAGGGCCTCTGCTCAGCCTGACTGACCGGCAGGAGGGAGGAGACCCTCCCAGGGCCCCTCAGTTCCCTGCCA